GCTGAGCTGCTGGGTGCTCACTGGGGGGGCTGCACCGGCAGATCGCCCAAGCCGAGCGAGCGGGGGCGGAGGGCGCTAGTGCTAAGGGCCGCGTGGGGAAGGGGAAAGCCACGCGCCGGCTGGAATGGCCCGTCAGCTCTGAGCCTGCCCGTGGCTGGGGGAGAGGGCCAGGACGCCCTAACAGACAGGCACGCTGCCAGGGCTGCCCTCCCTTCAGCGCCTTTCCTAAACACATTGGCTGCTCAGTTTCAGCTGCGGCCTAAACAGCCGGGCTGGTGGGGAAGTTACTAGAAGAACCTGCAGGAGGATCCCCAAGTGTTGTAGGGCATCCTTGGGACTACTCTTAAGTCTGGAGCCGAGCTCTTCTTTTCCTTATAGGACCTGCTGTCTAATTCTGTAACCATACACACCTTTATGGGGCACTCCTTTTTCTCCCCCTTCAGTCTCCACTACTTTGTAAACTCCCTGGGAGCACAGAGGGCACATATAGGAGGGCCCCACAGAAACTGAAGCTTTATTGATAAACCGTTCCCAATTTTGTATAGGAGATAGGACAAATAGTGTTTGTTCGCTTTGCATTAATTACATGTATGACATAGAGATGGTTGGTTTCATTTTCTATGTAATAATACTAAAATTTTAGTCTGAGAACTGTCCCAACTGTCCCAGACTAGCTTGCCCCCGGTTGGAAATGTAAGGATGCTTGAGCAAAACAGCATATGGCATTCAGAAGCCCAGAACACCTCTTGTGATATCAAAGAAACCCATTTGGATTCAATAGAATTTGGGTGTAGTGAGTTCAGTATCTATAGCACACTGAAGGACAAAATGAGAACAGGAGAGGAATTTCTTCACAGTGGTTGTCATTAGTCCAAGCACATGGCCCCAGCCCTCTTATATCTCTCTTTCAAGGATGCACCATTTTGGCTCAGCCTTAGCTTTGAAACAATTCGGTGCATAGCCTATCTGATCAATATTTCTATGTTAGAAATAATGGAGCTTTAGGGAAGTTGAGGCCATAGACTGTGGGTTGCGTTTTGTTAGTCTTTAAGGTGCTACTAGACTATTTGTTGGTTTTTAAGTTTTTCCTGTTTCTTCTGCTTGGAAGACTTAGGCCAGGTTTACACTAGATGCCTATACTGGTATAACTACATTGCTTAAGGGTGTGAAAAATCCACACACCTGAGCTACATACTTATACCAACTACCCCACTCCCTGTGAAGACAGTGCTACGTAGGTGGGAGAGCTTCTCCCATTAACATAATCTATTGTCCTGAGAGATGGTAGCTAACTAGTCCAAGGCTACGTTTACACTGCAGGCTTCTGATGCAAGAAGCTTTTTGCAGATGAAATCTTCCTGCAAAAACTTCTTGTGCAAGAGTGCATCCGCACTACAAAAGCACAAAGTGATGCACTTTTGTGCAAGAGAGCATCCAGACTGCATGGACCCTCTCTCGCAAGAAATCTCTGATTACCATTAACAGAATGGCCACCAGGGCACCTGTGCTTGTTTCAATAGGGTTTTTTTTCTGCAAAAACAGCCTGTTTGCCATCTACACACACTTTTTTGCGCAAGAGCTCTTGTGCAAAAAGGAGTTATTCCTTGCAAAAGGAGGAATATCTATACCACAAAAAGCCCTGTTTTGTTGATTCACTGTAAATTTACTTGCACAAAAATGCGCTTGAGGTGGCGACGTTGCGCAGGTTTTTTTACACAAAAACAGACATTTATGCACAAAAACCCTTTAGTGTAGACACAGCCTAACTGGAGAAGCTCTTTTGTCGGTGTACTAGTGACTTCACTAAAGTGTAACAACTGCACTCCTGTATGTAAAGACAAGACCTCAGGTGAGATTGATGGTGAGATTGTTTCCTTCACATTGTGAGGAGTTATAGGACTTTTATCGAGTTACCCTGCAGGCCCTAGGAAAGAGGTAACAGACTTGAGCAATACAACACAGAGCCTTAACTTCCACAATGGACATCTGTTTAATGATCCAAGTTAGCTTTGACTCTTGTTTTCCTTCATGCCACTACAATTAGTTGCCTCAAAGGTAGGTCATGATGATGTATTTATTCATTACTGTAAAGCAATTTGAAAACATAAGTATTGTTGGGTATTATGTGGTAGACTTCAGTTTTTCTTTTTTTCTGACAGACTCCTGGAATCAGGAGTAAAAAGCTGCATCAAAGCAAACCAGAAGTTCAAGAAAGAAATGAACAGCAGGCTGCTATACAGCACTTGATAGGATCCTATAAAACTCGCCAGCTACTTGGCAAGCCCCAAAAAAGTAGCAGCTTAAATTAATCAGGTTATGTAAAACAGTAGTAAAGGAATCATAGAAACATATAATCCACAGCAGCAGAGTTTTTTTTCTAATAGTACTAGTAAAACATAACTCCCTTCAATTCTGTATTCCATAAAACAGCAAGTCTGTGTGGAGAAGCAAAGCAAACTCATATATGGTCCACCAGCAGAGGTAGAGAAGCATGCTATCAACATTTCGTTGGAGTCAAACTACAGCAGAGTTAATTTTCTGACTGTGACTATAGTTTTCTAATTGTCAACGAAGAACAGGAGTTGTAAGGAGCAATCCAGAAATCAGCGGGGAAGTATCTCTCAGCTCTTCAAGGTTAATTGAGAAGTGGGGTTAGCGGAGTGTGTGTTAGCAGAGTTTGCTAAATTTATAAACAGTCCACTTGCCTGAGGACTAAGCCTACATACAAGGGTGAATCACGTGCAACATCTTCCACACCATTTCAGAATAGATGTCTGTGTCACACACTGCAGATTAAGTTCTCACATGATGTGCGTAGATTCTACTAACAGACCTTTATGTAGGAAGGTTGTGACAGCTAAGTTAATGGAAAGAATTTCTGAGCCCATAGACAAATTGTAAACTACAAAAATGAATAGTAAAGATGTATTCAAAAGTGAATGGCTTTTAAGGGGCAAGTTGTCCCAAACAGGAAGTATAGCCTACATTGATAGATTCCTAGAAAATAGGCCTACTCTTGTCAAACAAACAAGATGCAATTTTTGATGACAAAAAGTTTGGCTGACAAAGGTTATGTTGGCATAACATACTTGGATTCTCACCAACAGAAGTTGGTCCAATAAATTATATTATTTCACCCACTTTGTCTAATATTCTGGGACTGACATAACTACAACTCTACTGCATATATTAGATTCTGTAAGGCATTTGACACTGCTACATAACATTCTGATAAAAACCATTTTAAACTAGCTAATGGTAACTTTCAAAAAGTATTTGTAAATAGTTAATCCTTATCCAATAGGGGTGTGTCGAAGTGGGGTCACAACCATCTATTTTTGGCTCAATGCTATTCCAGATATTTGTAAAAAATCTAGAAGAACATAAAATTACTAACAATTAATGGGTAGCAGGTTTAAAACTAATAAAAGGAAGTTCTTCTTCACACAGCGTGTTGTCAACCTGTGGAACTCCTTGCCAGAGGAGGCTGTGAAGGCTAGGACTATAATAGAGTTTAAAGAGAAGCTGGATAAATTCATGGAGGTTAGGTCCATAAAAGGCTATTAGCCAGGGGATAAAATGGTGTCCTTGGCCTCTGTTTGTCAGAGGCTGGAGAGGGATGGCAGGAGACAAATCGCTTGATCATTGTCTTCAGTCCACCCTCTCTGGGGCACCTGGTGCTGGCCACTGTCGGTAGACAGGATACTGGGCTAGATGGACCTTTGGTCTGACCCAGTACGGCCGTTCTTATGTTCTTATGTTCTAATTTTAAAATTATAAACAAAAAGCAATGGAGAGGCAAACAGACTTTAGTTAGAGAGACCTGCCTTTCTTGGTAGGGAGGCCTCATTTTGAACAATACCCATTTTAAGATAGACAACTACAAAGTTATATATTTAAGAACAAAAATGAACAGCACCCAAAATGGAGAGATGTGTCCTGAAATGTAGCCTGAAAGTATTTAGAGGTCATGACAGATAACAGCCAACTTCACCTATGCTCCCAGTGGGATGATGTATGTATTCTCGTGAGTTCAAGAGGAAAGGAATAGGGAGGTGACATAATCTCTCTACGTGGCATTATTGAGACCCTTTTTTAAACACTCTACATTATTGTGTCCAGCTTTCTTGTCCTCACTTAAAAAAAGGGGATGTTCAGAAAATTGTTGCCAAACTTATTTAAGCTCTAGAAAATATGCCTTTAGAAGTTCTAGTCATTTAATTTATCTAAGAGACGGTTAATAGGTGTGTTGTTCGAGGTTACAAGTACCTATATTGTGGAGCGATTTCCAGTAATAGCAAGTGTTCGTAAATAGGGAAAACTGAACATCTAAGCCCTTCTGATCTCCAAGCGTACCCAGTCACATCTCAAACTTGGAGCTATTACCTTTCTCAGGATGGAATAGTGTAATTTTTACACTCAGATTGGGACCAGGGTTGTATTCCTGCATGTTTCAACCCTAATTTACTTTGGCAGCTCAGACTTACATCCATACCCTGAAATTCTGTTGCCTCTGGGGCAATGATAGTGGTAAGTGTTGAAACACCTACCCAGGGCACTGACCACACAAAGCAACATTATTCATATGCACAACA